GACTCGAAAAAAAAAATAGCTTAAAGGGGCTAATAATATCGTCTCTAAAATGGCTTTTAAAAAAAATAAAAACTGCATTTATTCTTGCTGAAATAAAACAAATAAGACTTTCTCCAGAAGAGAAAATATTATCAGACATACTGTAAAAATTTCTTTGCTCTGTTAAACGTTATTTGGTAAATATTTACATAAGAAAAAAAATAATTCTGACTTCAACTGTATATCTGCTGTCATCTCAAAAAAGTTTTTTAGGGTTTTGTGACCCTTTAAGTGGCATTTTTATTTTCATTTATAGCAGGAGTTTCAAACGGCTGGCCCGCGGGCCATTTGCAACCTCCCACTCCTTTCTCAAGCCCGCAACTGACGTCATAAATAAAGTGAGATTCGGCCCAATAAAATATGTTACTAAATCACTATCATTGTTGTGTTGTTGCCTTTGGCTACTTCTGGTTTTGAACCTCCACCTACTGGACATTTAAGGTACTGTACTATAAATATGCGGGTTACTTTCAGTTTCTCTCAGTGTGCGGTCTAGATTAACGCAAATACAGATTATTTCTAGGGCTGATTTAAACGTAAAAAATTAATGACCGTAAGTACTCTATTTTTACTAAAGCTATATTTTTGTAAAGGTCACCTGATTATAATCAATTGTACAAACACTTCTTCATGGCTTGCATGTTGTGCTGTTGGTGTAAATATGATAATTTTGCTAATATTCAATTTAAATGGTCTCATTAATAGATTTTCCTCATATACATATTAAGATTTGTGTAAAAATGTGGATGAGTAAAATTTTACTGCTGGTTAAATTGAACATGTTACCTCCAGCATGTTAACAAGATACTCTCGGAAAGAATGTCTGAGTGCATCAATTACATCAGGTTCGAGAGGGGTCTGGATGCAGACCTGGTGCGGTGCAATCTGAGCTGCATGCTTTTTAATGTGCTCATCTGACCCCACCCCTAACCCTACCCCTCACAGTGACGTCTCTCACTCCATTTGAGTGCATTGTGTCTGACAGTGCTTTGCTCAGTGATGTAATCTCAACTTGCATCATAAAGGCTGCATCCAGATACTATTGCAGGTTTCTACTTTTTTCGTGTGCTAGAATGTTAAAACGGCCTTTCTATGAATTGTCAGTCACTCATATGGCGCCCGCCAATTTGAGTTTGAGACTCCTGATTTATAGGTTCTTCACAGGATATAAAGTAGCATAGAAAACATTCTGCAACTTATGTGCATGAATAGGGCTGTATTTAAAAACATTATTATTATTGTAAAAGGCAATACACTGGCATTATTGTCAACAGTGTATTAACAATGTCATAATTATTATTTGATAACAATATCAAGAATGCTAATAATAATATCATATTCATAATATTTACTAAATTATGTTCCCAAAGAGCAAAACAACAAAAATAAAAACAAGAACTGTTTTTATCAGGCCTTTAAAGAGCAATACAATTTTTATGTTTACAAAGAGCAAAAACTCAATATTTCATGTTTTTTTTTTTTTTTAAAGAACAACTTAGAATTTTTTTCTCAATGTCACATAGCAATTTAAAATAAGCTTTACATGAGCAAAAATCCTGCTGTTACCTGAAGTTTCGTTAGAAGTTTAATAGAGAAATGTACTGAAATTATTACCATTATTATTTTAAATTGTAATAATAATATTTATAATATTAATTAATTCATTTGTTTTCCTTAAACGTAGTCTCTGATTTATCAGAGGTTGCCACAGTAAAACCCACCAACTATTCACACACACATGCACAAACTCATACACTACGGCCAATTTAGGTAATCTAATTCACATATACCGCATGTCTTTGGACTGTGAAATGTTATTACTCTATAAAATAACTGTTCAAGAGTTTTCAGCTTCATTACTTTAGTCTTCACAGTCACACAATCCTTCAGAAATCACTCTAATATTTACTTAAAAAATAAATAAATAAATAAAATAATAATAATAATAATAATTATTATTATTATTGTTATTAATGTAATGTTATGTAATTATTAATATATAGTATTAATGGTAATAGTAATAAAAGCAACAATGACTGGAGTAATAATTTAATTTAAAACTACATACAATAAGAAAGCAGTTATTTACAATTATAATAAATATTTAACAATTAAAATTTTTTATTTTTTACATTTAATTAATGTCGCCTTGATAACCAGAATAATTTTCTTTAAAAAAAACTATACATTTTGACCGGTAGTCTACAGTGTATATATATATATGAAGAGTTCAGATGCAAAAACCTTTAAATGCCATCTGAAGTTTTCTCCTAAAATTAGCATTTTTCTAAGCCTCCTACATTTATGTTGAAGAATTTCACTTTAATGCCAATGAAAATAACTTATTTGTGACTACAAAAATTAAATTTCTGAGCCTACACACAAGAGTCAGAGAAATATGCTAATTTAAAAAAAAAAAAAAAAAAATATATATATATATATATATATATATATATATATATATATTAGCTATTATATTATTCTTGAAAGAATAAACATTAAGCTGATGATTCATTTAAAGAAGGTGATAACAAAAGAGTGTCCCAGTTGTCTGTAGTGATCTGACACTTGATTTTCCACTACATATAAGTGCTTTGATCATATAGATTAAACAGTGAAAGCAGGAAAGCTTTTCTTGTCTTCAAAGATAAGATCTTCCCATCCCAACTGACCTTTGGCCTGTGATCAGAGTGAGTCCATGTCTGCGTTTGATGGGGACACATTTATCAAACAGGGCCACTGTGGGCCTTAATGCAGTGTATCGGCAGGGGCCCTCGCAAAACCCTCAGGCCCACAGCATAGATTCACCAGCAGCCACACAGTGCTCTCGCTGGCGTCTGGAAGACTCAAAGAGACACAGGGGTTCCTCTTCACTCTGACCCTGAGTAGAGTAGAATAGGATAGAATAATTCAGTTATTCAGTTAAAATAAAAAAAATAGATATTTAATTTATCATACAATAAAATGGTCAATTAAACTAAAAAAAATGGGTAAAAGAGGGCTCACGAGTGCATGAAGTGCTTTAAAAGTCTGTAACTTTCACATTCATGTGCAAATTTCCAATGCATGTCTATAGAGTGTATGTCAAAAGCCTAAATTGGTCTAGTATTAGCAAATAAGGAAAGCCGATGCCTCCTGTAGGAAATCAGATAAATGTCAATCAAGATCAGAGGAGAACATCATTAGCATTTCCTAATCTCATTCAGATTACTCTATTCGTCCCATTGAGGAAAGTTAATCTCTAGAATAATATTGCTTTTGTTTTGTAAGTCCTTAAAGAATCTCTGGTGCCTCTGAGTGAGTTTTTCCTCCATAGGATTTCCACTTTTAGTAAATAATTGAATTTGCGTAATTTCATGAGAGAAACTGTACTGATGATGAGCATGTCAACCTCCCCCCCAAAATGAGCAGAAATCATCGATAATTTAATAAGAGAAACTGTACTGATGGACATGAGACATGCTAACTTCCACCAACCCCTACCCTGCACTGAAGAAAAGTGAATTTTTTAGCTATAATTTGGGCAAATGGAATATGTAAATAATATAATAAAATATAATCAGGCAATTTCCAGGCCGATGAAAATATAATTAATATTTTTTTTTATTATTAATAAGTACAATTAATTATGAACAAACAGCACTTTTGCTAAATTTTCGCTATTTGCGAAAATAATACATGTGATGATTAGTGAAATTCTTATTCAGTAATTATGAGAGGAATGCTGTAAAAATTATAAATAATAATAATAATAAAGTTGTATTTGTTTATTTATTTTTATTTGTTTTAAATGTCAACCATTTTAGTCGGATTTTGCAGCAGAACTAGTTTAAAATATTTAATTTAATATTGTGAATATTAAATTAAATTGGCATTAATTAATACATCAATTAATACATTATTACCCAAAGTTGTCCCAAATGTATTGTTTAAATTGTACTTATTACTTTATTTTACAACTATTATACAACTAATAATTAATTAATTCATTCATTCATTATTTAAATAATTTATTTTATTATTTTATTTTATTTAGTAAAAATTATTAGTAAGTGAATATGTAAATAAATAAGTTATTATAATTACATTTGAGACTATGTATTAGTAAGCATAACAACAACAACAATAATAATAAATAATAATAACAATAATAATATTAATAATATTTTTGTTTAAATGTCAAGGATTTTAGTCAGATTTTGAAGCAGAATTAGTTTACAATATTTTATTTATCTTTGAAAATATTTCAGACCAGCAAATTAATAATATTCCAATAAAACAAAACAAAAATCTATGGTGATTTTTGCTAAATTGATATGTACTCTAATTATTTCAGTGTTTCCCAAAGTTGTCTCAAACAACTTACTGTTTACTTTATCCTTAATGCTTAATAACTTATTTTATTTATTCATTTATTTCAATAATTTGCCATGCATAATACAATTTACGAATTAGTAAGTGTAATATTATTATTATTATTATTATTATTATTATTATTATTATTATTAATAATAATAATAATCATCATCATCATCATCATCATTATATTAATAATACATTTGCATTTGTTTATTAATAATTTTATTTGCTTTAAATCTCAAGACTTTGGATTTTGAAGCAGAATTAGAGGTTTCAATATTTAATTTAATATTGGGAATATTTCAATTTAGCAAATTAACAATGTTCGATATGATTCGATATACAGTATATACTTTACAAAGCTCATTGTGTGTGACCAATATTGGCCTATTAGCTTCTCCAGCTGATCCAACAATTCGATCTCTCAACCAGTGTAAGAAGCCAGAAACTCTTAGAGATTACACATCACAAAAGAAGACACAGAATGAGAGCTTAAACAGAGAAAGAAAACCAAAAAAAAATAAAATTTTAAAAGAATTGGATTAATTGGCATAATGCAAGGTGGCTGAGCACAGCCAGAGAGTCTACGCTTTTTTTTAGGAGAATCGCTGCCATTCTCCAAGTCTGCACAATTAGCCGTTCGAACCCTGACCCCGAGCACAATAATTAATGAAAAAACAGAGGATGAAGACAAAATGTGCCGAGCTGTTTGACTGAGTGAGAGAGAATAATACATCAAAGAGCGTGGTAATTGGCCCTGCGGCTTTCATTCCTTCACCCATTTCTTTCAATTCATTGACTCAAAATAATGGGTTCAGGTTCATTATCAACAGGTCGTAAGCTTTCCAGTGCTAAACGCCTCTGGGCTGTGTTTCAACGCTGTAGATGAAGCTAAACGTGTAACGCCTGATATTGTTGTGGCTTTGAGAGCGATATTTACCCATAAGATCAAAAATGCTGGAATATAACTGGTACGGTCAGGTAAGCCAATTGAGCATTTCATGTTTTCCGGGATTGAGGTTGTGTTCATCCGTCCATGTAATGTTTATTCATTTTCTAGAATGTGCTAATGTATGAAATGCGGTTGCAGTCATGAGAAATAGGGATTGCATACTGTGATAAAAAGAAATAATGATAAAAAGTCATAATATTAGGAAATATTTATGATTCAGAGAGCTGTAAAGTCGCGTTGTGTAATACTGTACTAAATGGAAAACTGAAATGACCAAAAACATGTCCACAATTATCATATTTATATGTGAAAAATGTCAGTCAGATTACAGAGCAGAATGTTTATTCATCTGGATAGTGTGTCAATGTATAAAACTAAGTTACAGTTTTGAAAAATAGGGATTACATAATGTGATAAAAGGAAAAAATACTGATATAAAAGTCATAATATTAGGAAATATTTATGATTTAGAGCGCTGTAAAGTCACATTGTGTGATAAATCAGATGTATGCTAGAATATAACCTAATATATGGTCATGTAAGTCATGTTTTCTGTTAGAAAGTGTGTGTTTATCCGTCTATGTTAAGTTAATTCATCTTTTAGAATTAGCTAATTCCTGAAATGAAGTTACAGTTATTAGAAATAGGGATTGCATACTGTGATAAAAAGAAATAATTATAAAAAGTCATAATTTTTAGGAAATATTTATGATTTAGAGCACTGTAAAGTCACATTGTGTGATACTGTACTAAATGGAAAACCGAAATGACCCAAAAAAAGGCCACAATTATCATATTTATTGTTTTGCATGTCAAAAATGTCAGTCAGATTACAGAGCAGAAGGTTTATTCATTTGGAGATTTTGTCAATGTATGAAATTAAGCTATAATTATGAGAAATAGGGATATTATACTGTGATAAAAATAAATAATGACATAAAAGTCATAATATTAGAAAATATTTACGATTTAGAGTGCTGTAAAGTCACATTGTGAGATACTGTACTAAAGATGAGTGAAATGGAAAACTGAAATGACCAAAAAATGGCCACAATATTTATTGCTTTGCATGTAAAAAATGCCAGACAGATTACAGAACAGAAGGTTTATTCATCTGTCAGTATATGAAATTAAGTTATGAGAAATAGTCATATGTCTGGGGTATAATGACATGTTTTGGGTAAATAAATTTACAATTTGATGACTTCATAATAATGAGTGGCTTATATTAAGTCACATTGTGAAATACTGTACTAATATATATTGAAAGATAAATAAAAGTTCTAACTATAAGTATGAAACCAAAATGACAAATAAAGAGCCCATTATTATAAGTTCCATTCATGAATGTGTTTTTTAATATTAATTTTTTAAGGTATAATAATAAAAAAAATATGTTTTTATTGTATTAAAATGTCAAAAATGACAGCCAGATTACAGAGCAGAATGTTTATTCATCTGGAGAATGTGTCAGTATATGAAATGAAGCTACAGTTATGAGATACTAAGATTTGAAGTACGATTAATTTGTTATAACTCTGAAAACATTCACATTTATTATCATTTTCTGGCATGGAATTTTCAGTAGGTATAATAACAATAATCGTTTTTTTATTGTTTTAAATGTCAAAGTGTCAGTCAGATTGCAGAGCAGCACTGTGTTTACTGTATGCATCAAGAAATCACATCACAAACTAGCCGAATAATAAAAACATATGCAATGATTTGGTGTTATGCTACATTTGAGAAAGTCAAATTCAATCTGGCTAATTTAATTCATGTAATTGTATCATTGCTGTTGCATGTGTTACAGTGACAGGCCATTTTACGCTTCATATTTTCAGCTAACAGTCCTAGACTAATGTGACACCAGCTGTAAGTGCATAACACACTCGTGCAAATGAAACTCATGTGCAATTTTAAAAGGGACAAAAATTATTTGGCTGTTTATGTAATGCAGGTTTATATACCGGGCGTATAAACAAATGAATAAATAAACAACAAAAACAACACAACCATGAGCAGCAGGTCCAAACATGCTTCAAACTTAATGTAAAAAAAACAAGCCAAATTTCAATTCATATATAATAAATTTACATTGTAAAAGCTAACAGTGTAAACTACTAAATAAAATAAGTTAGTTTAACTTCAATTTGAAAACAGAGTTATTATGGCTCCATGAAAAAAGTTATGGAAACTCATAAACTGATTATATTACCGAATGAGGTATGAATGAATGAATTACATTTTTGTGTTAACGCTGATGCTTGAAGCAATACCAAAGCCATTTGAGTAGCTATATAGTTGATTGAAGTTTATTTGTTTAAGTTAACTGAACTCATAACTTTAAGGGCTCTATTTTAACGATCTAGACACAAAGTCTAAAGCATGTGGTGCAAAAACATTTTAAATCCACTTTTGCTATTATAAGAATGAAAAAATATGGTTTGCATCGCAGCGCATGGTCTAACAGGGTTGTGTTTATTCTCTTAATGAGTTATGACTGTGTTTTGAGTAACTAGCATTAAACCAATCAGAAGCTGCATCTCAAATGGTACACTATACAGTATGCACTCATGCACTATGTACTTACACACTCAACAGCTTAGTATATGTATGTGGTGTTGTCCCAAATGGAGTACTAATGTTTTTTTACTATGCGGAAATTCAAACCGTTTCCCTGATGATGTTTGACGGTTGCCAAATCTGTGAAATAAAGGACCAAACTATCCGATAATACCTGCCATGAGTATAACTGCATTCACAATCGGAAGGCGATTTAATCCCTCTCGTAGGAGAATTTTGCTTTTACCATCCAAAATAAATAAAGTTATTTAACATGTGCGGTCACTGAGTGCTTGAAGTAAGAGTAAAAACTGAAAGCTTCACTATCGATTTTAATCCTTGAATCTTTCTGATTTGTAAAGATGTTTGCGTATTGATTACATCCTGCGTGTATTAAGCAATGTGTCTGCGTTTAGGCTGCACAACTAGTGCGCTCTGCGCTGGACTTCTATTGCACCATCTATTTTAGTTCCTCAAAACAGCAACGCGCCAACAATGTGCCTTAACACACCTCCATTCTAGACCGACACACCCATGAGTCCACAAAGCGGCGCAAATAGATTTACTATTTAAACAACATGGCACAAAACAGGAAAATTAGGGTTGCGTTGGTCTGAAAATATCAACAAATCCTTATTGCGCCGGATGCATCATAGGGTCCAAAAAGTTACTAATACTCTAAATGTTTGACGATATCAACACAAACAATACATGTGTATGACTCAATAAATGTATTTAGTTTACAAACCATTTTGTTTCAAAACTTAAATCGTTTGGTGTAGTCAGTTTCCTCAAACAGTTTGAGTTACCCTATCGGGTTTTACAGTGTGTTCATATCAACTTATGAAACTGACTAAAAATATGAAGTTAAACTTTGCTTTTATTTTTTAAATGTAGTTGAAACCTGATTACCTTATTAAAACAAGTTAAAGTAACATAAAAGCATTTGTAGTCATGACTTAAGTAGTCATATAATTCTTTTTACATTGTATACTTGGGTATATTAACTGATAAATAAATAAAAACAAATACTTTATATTTATCTATTTTATACAACCTTTGAAGACAATGTCTAAATGTGCTTTATAGTTTTTATGAAGCCAAAAAAATTTGGTATTTATTATTTAATTAATGAAAGGATCCTGCCAACTTTATGTAAATAAATAAATAAATAGATTAATTGAATAAAAACCTCTATCTCTATTTAAACAACGTGCAACATGTCCAAATGTGCTTAAATTATATTGTCGATTCTTGTCAAAATATATAGGAATTCTTAAATCAAGAAACATTTTCTAGACATGGACAGACACAGTTTCAGTTTACTAAAACTTCTATTTTAAGCTGATTTGAGACAATTTACATTGTAAAAAAGAAATAAAGACGAATTGAACTAAATCGAACATGCAAAAGATTTCTAGAAATAATCTGTCAAAATTAAAAAAAAAAATCTTAAAACAAGCTGAATAATCTGCCTATAGTGTAAGTAAAATAAAATAATCATAATAATACACTATTAGCAGATTAGTTAGCTTGTTTTAGGGAAAACCCCAGTGTAATTTTGACTTGCTTGTAAAAACTAAACTAATAACCAATCAATATATTGCTTATTTGTCAGAACATGCTTCTTCATTTAATAATGTTTAGATATTTGGTCTAGAAATGAGACAAAAACTTTAATTAAGAAGATATATTTTGCAATAATTAAATTACAGGAATACCCAAACATATCACTTAACCAAAGAAAGTGTTTTGTCAACTTCTAGAGACACTAATATTAAAGCACTTGTGAGCTTTTGAGAAAACAGAAATCATAACACACATCATGCTGTGAACACATGGCTCCTAAAAGTGTGTGTTTGTGTGTAAACAAAAGCATGTGCGTGTTTCCATTGTCTTTGTAGTGGTTTTATCTGTCTTTTGAGTATCACGTGCAATTACTGTAGCTCTCTCTCTCTCTCTCTCTCTCTCTCTCTCTCTCTCTCTCTCTCTCTCTCACACACACACTTTAAACTCAATTGGCGGAGTCTAAATGTTCAAGTTGGCAGCACGTGATGAAGTAAAATACCACAAAACCATTTATTACTAAGCTAACATGCTCTGACAGAAGCCCACAAACTCCACTGACCTCTATAGGACAGACTTTAGTGGTTTTCTCATACCTGGGTGTGCGGTATCAGCCACTTAATAACCTGATAGGTCTTAAAGTCAGGCTTTTGCTTTGAGAAACGTCCTGCTGGGATGAAAAGAGAAGCGTCATCTCGTGTTAACGTCACCCAAGTACTGGGCTAACATGAGAAACAAAACAAAAAAAGCGAAAGCCCCTCAAATATGTGGGATTCCCTTCAGCGCTGCTGTTGGTCTTTGTGGCAGCGTGGTGCATTTTCTACATTTGACCGCTATTAGTGCCATTAGAATGGTTTATGGGAATTTGAAGGACTTATGGGGATGTGAAAATGTCAGC